GATGGAGACAGCAGCTCTGCTGGGAAGGCAGGCCAGCAAACAGGGGATCCTAAGGGGGGACCTCCCCACTGGGAGCCAGGGATATGTCCGAGAGGGATCAGGGCATGGCCCTGGTGCAGGGCATGTCACCGTCAGGGTGTCCACGGGATAGGGACTAGAGGGGAAGGAAGCACCAAGGCATCTGTAAGGGGGCACGGATGGTGACTGAGCTCCCCCCATGGCCCCAAGGCAGGCTGAGAGCGGTGGCAGAAACCCCATTTGGGAGCGCACGCCCCTGGCACGGAGCTGGGTCTGTGAACAGGGACTCCCCCCTGCAGGGTTTGCCTCGTTCAAAACAAGATTGGCTTCAGGCTCTGGACCCCCCCATCACCGTTTCCACGGCCCCCGGAGCAGTGTCCCCATGGAAGCAGGGGGTGAGCTCAGCCGGGCACGGTGCCACGGCAGCGGGAGCTGGGAGGCAAAGAGAGCCTGAGGAAAGCGAGGATGGAGCTCTCCTGGGAAGCCTCTGCCAAGGAGGTGCCGGGGCCGCTGCGAGCTCCACGCGTGCTGTGCTCACAAACCAGCCCCCGCTCCAGGCTGGGAGCGGGCTCGCTGTGTTGAAGCAGGAACAAAGCAAGGAGAGAGGGAAGGAGCATCTCGGAGCACGCGATCCTCAACGGCAGCTTCAGCCGGGAGCAGCAGTCCCTGGTTCAGAGCTGCTGCTGACTTAAGGACCTGCAGAGGTCGTTTCCCTCAGGCTCCAAAGCCCTCACACTCTGAGTCTCCTGTGCCTTGCTCTGGTGGGTGTCTGTGGGACCATGATCCTTAGGGTTTAGGCTCTGTGCCCTTTGAGTGTGAAGCCGCTCGTCACATCTCCTGTACCTGCACATGGCTTTTTGCTTCATTTGCTCAGTAAGCTCCCATTTACCAGCCCACAAAGGTTTCATTCAGCCTGGACAACTGCTGGGGGCTCTGCTGCAGGCACGCTGCACAGCTCGGTGTGACCAACAGCATCCTCCTCCTCTCACTGCTCTGCAAACAGTGACAAAACCCCTCACGTGCTAGAGAACACCACAGCCAGATGTTGATCAAATCAAGGGGGTGAGTGAGACAAAAAGCACCAGCTTGAGAGCTCGGGTTTGCTCCCACTGCAACCACACGTGATGGTGGGCACCTGATTCAGTTTTCCAAGCAGACGGGGGATCCCTCACCTCCAAGAGCCACACACAAGTCATGGCAGGGGTTCGGAGCACAATGGAAAACCCAAACAGCTGAATGAGGTGGCCGTCATGGTTTTGTCATGTTTGAAGTTGATGCTTCCTCCTACAGATAAAGGCCAATGAAAGGCAGCAGGTGATGCCCGCACAGCATCCACAGGACATCCTCCTCAATCCTCCCCATCGCATCGAGCTCCAGCAGGCACTCACAGAGGGAGCTGCATCGCACTCACACAGAGCATCAGGGCGCCCAGATCACACTTAGGAACTTCCAGAAGTGATCATAAACATCTCTATAGGTGAGCAGAAACTGATCTCTTTAGAGGCATTGACACTTGGCTGTAACCCTACACAAGAATTGCTCTTCTCCCCTAAAGGGAACCGCAATCCCTACAAGCATTAAGACCGAGGCTTGCACTACTCAAACCCTGACATTCCCCTGCACTAAAAGCCACTTACCATCTTCAGCATGTCCATGGCAGGAGGAGAGACCTGGGAGCGATATTTATTATGCCCATCCAAGATGATCTTCTTTTCCTCATCGCTCAGCGATGCTCCAGCATCAGAGCTCAGCTCCAGCACAGCGAGCAACAGGACAACAGGAGGAAGACCTGAGCTCAGCATCGTGCAGCCAGCTTCTGCTCTTCGTAAGCCCACGGCTCTGGCAGTCAGCTTTAAAGCACCTCCCAAAAGCAAGGAACACCCAACAGCTCGAAGACTGGGGAGGAAATGGATTTCTTTATGAGAGCAGAGTTGGGAGCCACAGGAACACACCCAGCTCACATATCGGCCTCATGGAGGAGCAGCAGTATGGCCCTTGCCAGCGAGTGCACAGGGTCTGCTCCCCAGGAGAGACCCTCTGCCTGCAGCCTAACCCCGGGATGGGTGCTTTGCAGCCAAGCCTCTGCTGCTCCAAACCTCAGCCATCCCCGAGGCCCCCGGTTACGGATCCTCTTCCACCTCCTGTCCCTTCCCTGCTGGACTACACTGAGAAGCCCCAAGCAGCCGGCAAAGCCCTGCCTTGTACAAGGGTCCTCCCCTGGCCCTGGAGCGCAGCTGTGTCTGGAAACGAGGACAAGATGCAAGGGCTGGGAGCGGTTTGGAGGGTGGAAACTCCCCAGGCAGGAGTCAGAGCCCACCTCAGCCAGCCCCGTGGCTGCGAGGGGGGAAGCAGCGAGGAACGGCCCCTCCGGGGCTCCCCCAGCCCGCTGGGAAGGGGGAAACACGGAGGTTGATGCTCCCTCCCTGACCATCAGAGGGATGCGCAGGAGAGGAAGAACAGGACCTAGAGCTGAGCCTGCCCCAGAAACAGGGATTCGAGGGCCGGCAGCTGCACGCAGGGCTGCCTGCAACCACAGACATTGACCCTGCTGCGCTCGGGCCCCAGGCGGACACCGCGGGGCTCAGCACCAGCCCCGGGGCCATGGAGCGGCCCTGGCAGAGCCCCAGCAGCCTCTCCCCCCACATCTGCACTTGTGCAACCGCCGGCTCCGCGCCGGGACTGCCCTGGGAGCGAAGCCCCATCACTCGCACGCTGCCGGCTCTGCCCCGGCCGGGCTTCACCACCTCCCCTGGTTTGGAGCACACCGATCACCTCTGACCACAGCGGATCTCCTGCCCCCCGCTTGGCTTCATTGGGTCCAGGGTCTACCGTGGCCTTGGTAGTTCAATGATTCCGGCAAGCAGGGTCTGGGCCGACATCTCAACAGGCCTTCAACTCCCAGCTTCTGCCTAAGAGCTCATCTCAGTCTCCCCTCTGGCAGGTTAAAGCCATTCCCCTTGGCCTGTCCCTACATCCCTTGTCCCAAGCCCCTCTCCAGCTTTCCTGCAGCCCCTTCAGGCACTGGAGCTGCTCTCAGGTCTCCCCTTCAGGAGCCTTCTCTTCTCCAGGCTGCCCCAGCCCAGCTCTCTCAGCCTGGCTCCAGAGCAGAGCTGCTCCAGCCCTCGCAGCATCTCCATGGCCTCCTCTGGCCTCGCTCCAACAGCTCCACGTCCCTCTTGTGCTGCTGCCCCAGAGCTGGATCAGGGCTGCAGGGGGATCTCCCCAGAGCACAGCAGAGGGGCAGGATCCCCTCCCTGGCCTGTGCTCACGCTCCTTATTCAGCCCTACCTGACAGGGCTGATGATGAAGCTCCTCCAGAGCGCATAAAAGCGGGCAAGTAGAGGAGAGAAAGATCCCGCTGCTCCTCCCAAGGCAATGCCTGGGCCCTCTCAGACCCCAGAGGACCCACACTGGAGACCTTCAGGACATGAGTCAGTGGCAACCCGGCCTTTGCTGCTCCCCAGCCCGGAGCGGAGCCTTCCTGGAGCCTTCCAGCCTCGAGCCGGGCCTTGCACACCCCTTTGGTGCCTGTCACGGCTCCTGCCTGTGCCGAGGCTGCGGGCGCCGGGGCAGGCAGTAGGGAGAACAGCCCTGAAGGAGGCACAACCTAATGGTGCTCACGGGGCGAGGTCAAGAGCAGCTGCACCCGGGGTGGGGACCTTGTGCTCCCAATCTCCGTGCTTCAGACGCTGGCTCCAGCAGGAGCCCTGGGGGCAGGTTGGGGAGCTGGGAAATGGCTCTGCTCCCCCTTCGCCTGCAGCTGCTCTTGACCTCGCCCCGTGAGCCACATGCCCCGCTTGTGCCTCCTTCAGGGCTGTTTTCCCTACAAGCACCATGCCCCGGCACCCGCAGCCTTGTTGCCAGGCATCTCCTGTGAGCCGTGACAGGCACCAAAGGGGTGTGCAAGGGGCTGCTCGAGGCTGGAAGGCCCAGGAATCTCTGCAGCGTGTCTGCAGAGATCTGTGCCTGCACTGGGGCTTTGCAAACTGCTGCATTCCTTGTAAGTCAGACCCTGGTGGGCTGAGCAGCAGGAGCTATAACCAGCGGTGATCCCTTTGTACAAGGAAGGGAATCTCTGCCCTCTGACATAGAGCAGGGCTTTTTAAGAGTCATTCAGTCCCACCTGTAGGATTCCCCGTGTCCTGGGCTGATCCCCAGAGCGTGAGCACAGCTCATGGAGGGGATCCTGCCCCTCTGCTGCGTTCTGGGGAGATCCCCCTGCAGCCCTGATCCAGCTCTGGGGCAGCAGCACAAGAGGGACGTGGAGCTGTTGGAGCGAGGCCAGAGGAGGTCATGGAGATGCTGCAAGGGCTGGAGCAGCTCTGCTCTGGAGCCAGGCTGAGAGAGCTGGGCTGGGTCAGCCTGGAGAAGAGAAGGCTCCTGAAGGGGAGACCTGAGAGCAGCTCCAGTGCCTGAAGGGGCTGCAGGAAAGCTGGAGAGGGGCTTGGGACAAGGGATGTAGGGACAGGCCAAGGGGAATGGCTTTAACCTGCCAGAGGGGAGACTGAGATGAGCTCTTAGGCAGAAGCTCTTCCCTGTGAGGGTGCTGAGGCGCTGGCACAGGGTGCCCAGAGAAGCTGTGGCTGCCCCATCCCTGGCAGTGCTCAAGGCCAGGTTGGACACAGGGGCTTGGAGCAAGCTGCTCTATGGAAGGTGTCCCTGCCCGTGGCAAAGGGTTGGAGCTGGAGGAGCTTTAACGTACCTTCAACCCAAACCAGGCTGGGATTCTATGGATTGTGAAGGGAGGACAGAAATTGTTACTGGAAGAAAGGAAGGACGGGCAGAGCTGTGGCACCAACTTTGGGAACCAGCCCAAACCTGACAAAACATTCTCCAAAGTGCTCCTTCGGAATTTCCAAATGAAAATGTTCCAACTTTTCACTTCAAATGACACTTCCACCCAGGAAAAGTGCCCTAAAATGGTTAAATACCCCGCAATGACTGACATACAACATGAAAATGAATCAGGAAAGGGGAAAAGCTGCATTAACACTTGGATTTAATTGCAAAAAGTAAAAACTGTTTTTATTCTTCTTCCATACAAATCTCATTTATTTACACACTTTACAGGCTTTTCCCAAGTATTTACAAAGGTTGCAATATATTAAATTAGGACCATCCATAAAATTCTGCATTAAGTGCATATTTACATCCTTTTTTCTTTTAATCCACCACTGACTTTATAGTGTTCAGCATCAAAACAGTCTTTATGCATGTCCAGCTCGACTTCCCAGCACCCCTGAGCCCTTCTAACACAGCTTCTCTCCTTGAGGACAAAGAGATAACACCAAGAGTAATCACTTGCCATGTGCTTGAATCTCCAGAGCAAAGGGGAAGTCCAGCATCTCCCGTGTTTAACTCAGCAGGACAGTAAATCCTGTGCAAGAAAGAGCTTCCTGAAGAGGAGAAAGCAGAATTCTACCTAGGAAATTTAGCAAGAGGTGAGAGTTTGGTTTGTGGGAAGCCAAAGCTCGTTGTGCACCCATGGCCTCAATACAGAACGTATCCGGTTCTCCTGGGAGCCACGGGGCTAAACTCCCATCACGGAGCCTGGGATCTGCAAAATTCCCTGCTGGAGCAGCATTCCCAACGTGAACACGGGTTTAGAGGCAGGAGCATCCCCTGCCTGGGATGGTGCTGTTCACGGAGCTCATCTCCAGTGATGAGGTGCTCTGCTCCCCACTGTCCCATGCTGCGTGTGGGACGTGCTGGGAGGGCAGCCACGAGAGCAGGAGGGCTCTGATCCAGCCCAGTAGAACCAGCCTCTGCCAGAGTGCGGAGCGGGAGAAGCAGCAGGGATCCCAGGAAACCCATTCTCCAGGGCACTGCACAGGGAGTTTGAGGCTGGGACCGGGACAGCTGCCCTGGGGGAACTGGTGTGTGCAGTGCCAGAGGGGAGGGGAAAATGAGAGGGGAGAAAAAAGAGAATCAAGAGGAGCTGGCAGCCTGGCTCCCACAGGGGATGCTGACTCCCTGGTGCTGAAGGAAGGAACACCCCTCCTTTCTCCTCCTTTCAGTTACCCTGAGTTCAGGCCTGGCTGAGAGCAACAGGCAATGACCCTGCTTACAGAGACAGCTTTAAGCCAGGAGCCTCAGCCCTGCTGCCGGGTGACAGCCTTTGTACCCTGACAAGTAGAGGGATGATCCCCCCTCCCCTCTGCCCACGGGGCTCTCGGGTAGTACCGGTCTCTGTGATTCCAGAGCAGCTTTGCAGCCTCTGAGTGAACAGAGCCCATGTCCCAGCTCATGGGCAGAGCTCTGAAGCACACAAAGAGGCTTTAAATAGCGAAGTTGCATGCATTGATTGGCACCCCCCAAGCTGGCCAGGGTGGGGAGCGGGGATTGTCCAAACCAGCACGGACACTTGGATACACCCAAGTGCCAAAGGGAGGCTGGAGCTGAGGGAGAGCACGTGGGACACACCCCCAGTGATTCATCTGATCGATGCCTCAGTAGCTGAGGAAACAGCCACATCTCCCCCAGCTCAGCCTCAGCAGCTCACTGGGAGCTGCCAGGCTCTCTAGGGAAGCCACAGCCTCCTTCCTGTAGCCCTTGCAAAGGGAAGCTGGAGCCCTGGGTGAGGAAGACAACCAAGACTTGCTTGCTTGGATGGCCAAGGGGTCAAAACCTCCTTCTGGCCACCCCAGTCTTGCCACTTTGGCCTCGTATCCGAGTTTTCCATCCCGGCTCCTTGCCCATGCTCCTCCTCTGGCAGCTGAGGACAGGAGCTGCTCTAGAAGCCGTGCTACAGACTGGGGCTCAACAGTGGCCAGGGCTAAGATCGGCTCTTTATCAGCAGAACTGCCCTCCTGTTTCAGTTTAGCAGCTAATTCCTTACAGCTTTTGGAAGAGGAAGAGAAAATATACTGGAAGTTTGAAAACAAATGATGTAAACCCCAAAGGGAGCACAGCTGGGACATATGCAATGTATCGCCTAGACACAGAGCTGGAAACTTATGCAGAGACCATAAAGTGCACTTGGAAAGCTGATCTGCAAACAGGCCAGATTCACCATCTTCTGTCCAACCAGCTGCAACTCTGAGGAGGGGAGAAGCAATACTTGAGAGCACTTTCGTTAAATAGGCACAAACCTGCCCGGGAGCCCTCCCCTTTTCCCCCAGTCTAAACAGCAAGCACCAATAGATCCGTTTTCTCTGCTTCTTCCCAAAGGATCCAGACAGCCACAGTGGCTTAGGTGGGACTCACAAAGCACAGGCATTTCACAGACACTTTGAGAATTGTCTCTGCAGCTCTTACAAGTTACATTCAAGGACACTTGGAAGTGGCAGCACCACCAAAGCACCCACAGCCTCCACAATCATAGGCCCAGCAGGTTTTGCCCATAAGCGTCTCTAACCAAAGGGCTCAGGTACAACCCCGGTGAGAGGTGAAGTCACCTCATCAGCCTTTGAATTTGACTTGAGAAGCTGCCAGAGTGTAAACAGCAACAGTCACTAACGAGGCCCTAATTCTGCCATCACCAAACCCCCAAATTTCCATTAACTAAGACCCAGGCTTTAAGAGGAGGGAGAGGAGGAGGGGGGTGTGTGTCTTGGCATGTACAAGATTGCACGTAGTGTCACAAGTGGAAAACATCCCCCAAGCATTAATTATACTGATGGCAGTCTTATTAATCCAATTCCCTTTAATATTTTGTCACAAATTAGATCAGTCCTTTCCTGTCCTGACTCAGTCACACTCTCCCCCTTCGGTTCTACCAGACCTGCTGTGTGGTGGTGCAGTGTTGAGGGCCATGCATCCAGACTGACACAGGTCCTGGGGCTGTTCTCATTTGTTTACAGGAGAAAACTAAGGGTTATGCATAGAAATGTTTGTAGTGTCAAGGCCTCAGACTAAATTCTTTGGAGCAGGAACTGTCCTCTGCCTTATCCTCGTACAGGAGCCAGACGTGGTCATCCCACTTGGCAGCTTTTGTCAGAGTTTACTCGGATCAGTGCAATGTTTGCTCCCATTCTCCTGGTCTCACTCAAAAACAAAGGCTGGGCAGACAGTTTTCCAACCTGTCATTTCACATGTACCTGAAGTATTTACAGAGGAAAAGGTTCTTGCTCCTGAGAACAGAGTTAACTCACTTTCAAACAAACCCCCTCCCAATTCCATATTAACAAGTGTGAGAATATATCCTGAACCCCAGCCCTGGCCTGGCAGTTCAGCCCTGACACATCTGTAAATGATCTTCCACAACAGGATCAGACCCAAAGGATCAGACTTGGAAGAGCCCTCAGCATCCACAGCCTGCAAACACTGAAACTGAGCCTCTCTCAGGGCATTGCTGAGCAGCGCTCGAGCAACAGGAAGCAAGTGAAGGCAGCTTGGAAAGGACTCAGGAAAAACCAACATTCACTCTGACAACAGAGTTCCAGGTCTGGATGGAGGCAACGCAAAAAACCACCAGGGACAAGGAAGTTTTCAGGTGCTCCTGTAGGTACTCTGGGCAGGGGACACAGGCAGCACCTCCCAAAGCAAGGAGGAAACAGTGGAGCAGCCCTTGTGTCTGAAGTGCAGAATCAGGAGATGGAACTTGCACAGAGCTGCTCTGCCCCCAGTCCTGTCTCCATCCAGAATTACGAGGCCCTCAGCACCACCAGCACAAAACTTGCCTTGGTATGTTTGTAGGAAAGGAGGTGGGGAAAGAAAAAGCACAGTTACGATTTGACTCACTCATAACCTGCTGACAGAGAGCCGCAGGAGAGGGATCACAAGACACAAAGAAGAGGCCTGAACAGATTATTTTGGTACAAGAATGATGCTGAGGGTCTCTGCCCTTAGGCTGCAAGGGTCATCTCAACCCTGGAGCATGGAGCAGAGATGGGCTTTATGGGGCACACCACTGAGGCACACAGCTGCGAATGTGATGGAGATAGGGTGAAGTTGGAACACATCAATTCATTCCCTTTATAGAGCTGGCCTGACAAGACAGGCTCAAAGCTTCCTCCTCAGGAGGAATGTACACACAAGTGTTACACACCCCCTCCACTCCCAAACCCCCCAGGAAGTTTCAGAAGTGCCATAGTCCACAAAGGACACAAAGTGAATCTCATCCTGAGAAATCCCTTTGCTGCAAACCCAGGGCTTACCTGACAGGACAGGGAAGATCATAAATAGCTTGAGCTTCTCCCAAAATACATTTGGGGAAAGGCAAAGAATTACCTCAAGGGTCAGGGAAACAGTCCTTTTTAAACATTGTAAACATGCAGGGTGGCAAAGCTGCCTGCCCCAGCTCGATTCTCTTGCATGACATTGCCTTGGCTTCAAAGCTGAAAGTCTTCTTGTCCTGGATACAGCTCTGTTCTCCCACCCATGTCCTTAGCTAGCAGCTCCATCACAAATCACTGCTGGCTCTGTCCCTTTGGCCATGAAGCTCATCATCCAGTAATCTGCGCTGGCATAACCTTTGGGAGAGGCAATGAAGAGGGTGTATTAGATGAATCCATTCTTAATGACTGCACCCCTTCCCATCAGGTGCTGCAGGTATGCAGAAGCTCTTTGGAAAGACACTGCCCTCTGTGACACACTGGGTTTGTGATACCCAGCAGAGCGTCGTGTCTTGTGCAGCCCACCCTGCTCACTTTTCACACTGAACGTCACATGTATCCCATTCCAGGATGATCTCTGTACTGGCACAAGCAGGTACACACCAGTTTGGAGATGGTAATGGAACACACCACCTTCTCAGGTGTCACACAGCAAAGACCCAGCTGGAAGCAGTCTTCTGACACCAAGGGATCTTCCAGACCCTGCATACTATAACACCAGTACTCACCCAAATCTCCAGCTTCCAGCTCCACCTTGAACATCTCACAGTGTTCTCTGCACTTGTCCAGAGGTACAACAGTCAGGGTGAGCTGTCCACTTCCAACAGCAAAGAGGCTGTGCAGACTGTAGCTCTAGGATGAAAGAACATTGCAACAGCTTTGCCAGCTTCTCTTGGGTCTGTCTGACCAAAAAGGGGGCAAGTCTCTGCCCTGCAGCAAGGTGACACAGCACAAACCACAGCTTTGCTGCTCCTCCCAGTTACTAGTAGGTCATACCTGAGCTCAGCTGCATGCAAGGTTCCTACTCCCATCTCTGCCCAAGGCAATACAGGCTCTTTGCACCCACAAAACCCACAAGAAAGCAGGAGGCTTCCAGCCTGATCTCCTCAAGTGTCACTACCTTCAGTGAAACACCTCGATGGCAGGTATCTCAGAATGGTGAAACTCACTGCCCCAGACAGCTCCTACAATGCAACTCTTCAATGAATTCTGTCCAACTGTGCACAAAAAGACTATCCCCTCACCCTGAAAGTGAACAGAGCTTGCACACCACTTGGGCATCTCTAACTGCTGAGGGAGACGGGCCTGGTGTACCACCTGCACAAAGCCAGACAGCTTCTGGGTGGCACAGCAATCTTGAGATGTCACATTACACAGGGATGAACAGAACTCTAACCCCTAAACCCTTCTTGCCAGGATTATAGCAGCTGAAAATGTCCTGCAAATCCCCCAGAGACTTGGAGCTACTGGAGGACAGCTAACAGTCAGGAGATAATGTCTCTGGGATGAATTTCTTCTCACCTTATTCCCCAGATCTGGATGGCGGATGAGGAAGCAGCTCTCCAGGGACACTGCCTTGGGGAAGGACAGCAAAGAGGAAGCGGGGAAAAATTCCTGAAGAATCTGAGTTTTATTCACAGATTTGTTCCTAAACAAAACAACCCATATTAAAGAAATATCTTACAATGATAATGCTTGTGTTCAAAAGACTATTTTCTACTTCTTCACAAATATTCCTGCTTGATAAACAGCATGGCAGCCCAGCCCCAGCAGCAAATTTGACTTCCCAGCTTCTAAACCTGTGCTCCGTCTTATCCCCTTCTGTAGCAGGACCACGCAAACAGGGAACAAAGATTATGATGGATGCCTCAAGTTAACTTCCCACCTTCTTCCCTTAAAATGATCTGAGTCATCAATCATACCCGTTAATTACAAAGATACAGAGGTGGTACTGGACACAACCATAACTGAAACCACATGGCAAGGAGGGGGAACACAAGTCTATTCTCTAGGCCAGGGAGCGTAACTGGAAAAGGCAGGGTGGGGATTGTTATTTTTCCATCTCAGTCTAGTGACATGATTAACACTCCTGTACCCTGACCATCTGTCTACCAGCGCTGCGGACAAGAAGTGCAGCAAGAAGATCCCATCTAAGGCACAGGTTCCACCATGACCTTCTCCAGGTCTGCTTGAACCATGCTCCTCTGCCCATACAAACATGCCAGGAGCTGCTGCTGGCTCCTGTGAAGCTCCTGCTCCACGCCAGGAGGCACCTCCTCATGTTCTCCTCACCCTTCTCCACATGAAAAGATGCTGCTGGGTTGCTCTGTAACCTTAAAGAGCTCTGAATTGTTCACATAGCTTAGAGCCACACTAAAGGCTTCGGGAAAAAGCTTTTGGTTAACAGCAGCTCAGGATTAGGGTTGGCCATTTTTCCTGCACGGGACCAAACACAAACTGCTTTCTGCTACTCCTTGGTGTTTTGCAGAAGTCATGGTACCCCTTCTCAGCAACACTAACGGTGGAGGATTTCCACTGAGCAGACAGAGGGGATCAGAGATGTAAACCAGTTGCCTCAGGTGATCAGACCACAGCCCAGATGATTAATGTATGGCCTGAAGAACAAGACCGAGCAGTTACTGGATATTTTTATCTTGCAAAGGGAACAATATGTGAAGTCCCAGCCACAACACTCCATTTTTAGTGTAAACCTTCTCCTTGGGTTACATCAGTGCTAGCAAGCAGAGCCCATAACCCACTGCTGTTCCCCTGCTCAGTGTGAAAGTTAAAGTACAGCTTGCAAGCTCCTGGTTGTTCATATAGAGTCACAGAATCAACTACGCTGGAAAAGACCTTTAACATCATCAAGTCCAACCAAGGCAAAGAGGTGGGACACCTCTGCAGAAAGGATGTGTATCATCTATCATATGTTTTGTCTTTAACTCACCAGGGAAGGAAAAATGGGCAGCTCCACAATTCAGCTGAGTTTTCTTCTATTATAACCTCTGCCAGTTTTGGATCCTGAGACTGAAAATGTTTGATTTCTTCATAGGAGAGATGCTGCCCTGTCTTAAATGACACAAACCAAAGATAGAAGCTGTGCACCTGATGTTCCCCCCACTCCCATCTCCATCCTGCCAAAGAACATCCAAGAGGGACAGCCATCTAGACTGCTGTTTCCAACCACAGTAATTAGTCAGAGGAACAACTTGCTAAGGATGCAGAGAGCTCCTCATCCCCTGACATCTTTTGACTGGGGCTAAACGTTCTCTTAGATACATGTTCTACCTCAACCACCAGTATGTAGTTGAAAATACTGGCCAGGGGTCTTTGGTTGGTGAGTTTGGACTAATCATCCAGCCTTACAAAGCCCTGCATTACCTTGATTAGAAAAGGCTGAGGCCTCTGGAGCTTTTCTGATAGTTCTCCAAAGTCTGTCACTATCTGAAGGCTTTTCACAGCAGAACAGACTGTGCAGTTTGCAGGAAGCGTAGAAGTGTTCTGCCTGCAACCTGCTGCCCACCAGTCCTGGCATTCTGGGAACAAAACAAGAGAAACGTGGTTAATAAGACCAAAAATGAAATGGAGAGACTTGATGATAAACTCATTATCCCAAACATGAAACACTGAGATTTCTTATAGCTTCTAATGGCTGTAAGTTACTCAAAAAAGCAAGTTTCCCCAGGCAGGGAACTCATCACAGAATGTTTCCAGCACAGGTTGAAGATGCTGGAGATACAGCTCAGGGTTGGGAGAAGCTTTATGGAATTGCCACTTCTCTGTACATACAGGCTAAGCTACCCCTTCATTATCGACAGGAGAGTGGCAACTGCCACATATAGTGCCATTCAAATGAAACAAGTCCACAGGCACAAGAGGAATCCACACATGTGATCGAGGAGACATTCAGAAGACAAAATTAAAGACCCTGGTTGAAAAGAGTAACTCTCACAGGGTTAGCACTGGTGCCATGAACCCTGAAATCAGCCCCCTTTACTTCTGCGCTAACTTCTCTGGCCTGGGCAAAGCTTTCCCGGTTTCTGATGTGCAAAAGAAACCAGGGAATGCAGGATCTCACCAGGATGTGCTGCTGCTCTTTCCATTCACACTGACTTGAAGATGAAACAGGGAGAAAAGTCCCATCACGAGGAACCCCTGAACCACAGCTATATCCATTTTCAATCCCAGAAATCGTTGTTACACCACAATGGGTTGAACAGGCCTATAATTCATGTTACATCTTCAAACAGCCAGCTTTTATGTGAAACCATGACTTGATGCCTCCCTCCTCCAACTTAACAGCCATCCCAGCACAAACCAGTAAGTAACCATTAACAGGAACCACATGTTGCAGCACGGAACAAACAGGACAAGAGCTGATGATGCTAAATTCCCCATGTGTTTCTATGCTAAAGGATCCCTAGGAGCAGCTGCCACACTAAAAGGTTGTGGCTCTAAGTTCATGACAGTGATAGCCCTGGTTCTGCAGCTTTAATCCAATGGGGAGATGTAAAGTGTCCCTGCCCATGAGAGGGGTTTGGAACTGCATGATCTTAAGATCCCTTCCAACCCAAAGCATTCTATGATTCTAGGTTTAACTCAGGCAGTGGCAGCAAACCCACCCAAGTGAGATTGTCAGGGTGGGTCAGGAAAAACCCAAGGCCGGGGATACATTTCACATGGAACATCCAAAGATCTGTCCTCAAAACAGACCCATCTGTCCTGTATGGTGCCAGCACATGTCAAATCAGCTCATGACAAACCAGCTCATGTCTCCTGGCCATCGCTGCAGGCCACCCACTCAGAAACAGAGTGGATGGGAAAGGGGGGAAAGAAAAGACAGTGAAGGCTGTCTGAAAAATGAAGTTGGAGAAATGAGGATGCACAGTGGGTTTTAGAGGGAAAAAGACCCTGCACAGCCTGTTACTGCCATGGTGGTTTCCAGCCATGCTCATGCTTCTGTGCATGGGCTGTAACTGATGAACAGCACTTAACAGGAAAGCTTTTGTTTTACTTCTCCTTCTGACATCCGCAACAGACAACAAGGAACATTACAGAGGATTTAGGTTCACTGGGACATAACAGCAAGGAGCAGACTGGGATTCATTTTGCTTTTTTCTTTCTATTTCCAATCTACTCCCAAATGCTGCATTTCCCACCCCACTGCTGGGATATGGACTGAAAGGGATCAGGATGTAATTCCTAATCTTTCTGGAAGACACGACTACACTGCTTTCAGGGAATAGGGTAAAAAGGCAAAAGAAAGTGTAAAATCCTTATTGGAAGCAGAAGTCCCACTCCCATGAGAACCTGCTCCAACCTACTTTCCCTCCCTGCTCACAAGAGAAAAAAGAACATCTTTGTTCCCCTGCCTGTAAAAAGCTTCAATTTTACAACAACAAAACAACTCAACTCACAAAAAACAGCTGGTCAGGGACAGGAAACAAAAGGCTGAAAGATCTCACCAGAGGAAGGGCAGTTGCCATGAAGAGAACAAGAAAAACTTATCTTACGGTCTGTTACAGCGGGAGCAGCAATACTATAATTTCTCTCTGGGCAAAACTTAAGAAACCTCATCCCAGAGCATTAAGCACAGTTGTCCCTACATTTTCTCCCTGGGCTCAGAGCAGGACCCCACATAAGGGGATGCAAATCAGCTTGACAGTACAGAGCTTGATTCCTCTTTTGAGCCAGGCTGGGATATTTGCATTCTCAATTGCTTGATTCAGGAGGTGATTTCTTTGCCCCATGAATAACCCAAGCAGAACACAGTTGAGACGCATTTCAAATGCTGCAAGTGGGGTTGTGGGATCTCTTTTTTTTTGTTGGTAATTAATCTTTTAGATTGATTGCTGAGGGTGTTAGTCTGTGCACCAGCATGTGTGTGACTGGCATAACAAGTACGGGTAGCGAGAAGCGCCTGCCCTGCCCATGCTGGGAGGGAGAAGAGACTGGGGAAAGGAGAGGGCACTCAGCTGCACACTGAGGACCACAGCAGGAGTGCATGGAGGATGCTGATTCCCTCTCCATTACCCTCCCTGCATTCCTTCTACATTATCACCCTGCCCAGACACCCTGGGGGATTGCTCCGGGTTAAGCCGAGCGCTGTCTTGTCGGCACACACAGTCTGCTTGGAGACTGAAAAGATGCATTCTGCATCCCAGTGCAAGCGTCACACCACGGGCCCATCCACTCACACTCAACCACTGAAGTGCTGGGTGTGTGCAACCATCCCTACGGAGCTGAGTGCAGGAAAGCAGCTGTAGGATTGACACATACAACTATCCATCACGCAACACAAGCACAGGCCAGTCCCAACACACCTCTCCTCCCTGCTTGTGCTTTCTCACCCCCTTTTGAGGGGAACCTCAATTCCCCATCAGTCAGACCTACCTAATAGTTGCTTTTATGCTTTGTTATCTCTTCAGAAGAGCCGTCTTCTCCCCTGTGTCAGGAGAGCTCCTAGCAGAGGTAGTGCTGGGGACTTCCAGCTGCTAACACAACACAGATGAAGAGATAACAGAATTCCTTAGCACACATCTATGATTCATGCGAGAAGTTTATGACTGTACTTCCCACTATGCAGAAAAATAATAATTCTCAACTTACAATCCATTTTAAAGGAGTACTCCTCCCTTCTTGGCCATTTTCACAGAGGATTTCCCAAGTTCTTGGCTGTCCCCAGAACGAGAGGGGTGTGTGAGCACAACCCCAGAGATGCTGGGTGTGGACGATCAGATTGGAAGCTAAGAGGTTACTGAGAAGATCTGGCCCTGCTTCTGCCCGTTGCAGCAAAGCAATAAACCCCATGGAAACTTGCCCACATAGATCTGAGGCTGCTCTGGTCTCTTCAGAGACCATATAGAGGGTGAAATATCAGTCTGCCTCTGCAGCAGGTTCAAAGCCTTTGCTTTGAAGGGGAACCCTTGCCTCCTGCAGGATACACAGAGCCAAAGGCTGCTTCTGACCCTAATGAAGTGTTGAAATCAGTGTCCTGCACGTAGAACTGCAGGTGCTGAGGCAGCTGCTGGCTGCCCACAGAGCTGGTTTGCTTCCCAGCACTCAGGACTGCAAAGCTGAAGAAGCAGGAAGCCTGAGGAAGAAGGCAAATGACAGCTATATCTGCACAGGAGCGTCTGCCCCAGGGGAAGGGACACTCCCCCAAATCTTCACAGTCCCCCAGTTCTGTCCTTACCTGTTGTGGTCGCTACTGTCACCCATGATAACTAGAAGAAAGCTCCCCAAAGGGCTGCCTAATACATTAAGCAGTTCCACAACCGCAAAATTTGGTTCCAAATGCCCGATTCCTCTTTCCTAGGACAAAGCTATTCCCCAATTCCCACCTTATACCTCACTAGGGACCAGTGTTAGGCGTATCCAACTTCAGCAAGCCCGGGATGAACACAGGGCTCTCAAGAAAGACTGGATTGCACACTGGGTATTCACAAGACATTTCTTTGTCCAGGTCCATTGTGCAAGCCTGGCTGTTCCATTAACACCCACAACACTTCTGGACTGTCCCTCACAGAACCAATTGTACCATCAAGGTAGGACAGCAGGAAAACCTCAGGGCTCTCAGAAAGCACGACCAGCTCTATACTCGCCAATTCAAAGGTAGGCTCAGGATGGGGGTGGGCTCAGCAACTCATTTATGGTGCCACACTGACAGCCACAACCCTGTTACTATGTCCTAGATCCAACAGTGAGAAGATGCTGATCTCCACTTTTACAATATCACCCCACAGCTGCACATCTGTAAAAGTCAGGGGATTCTTTTTAAGGTAGATCTGAAGAAAAACTTCAAAGGAAGGGGTTAAGACCTCAGCCTACCCTCTGCTGTCTACGACCATACCTTCCCTTGCCCAAAGGGATGCTTCATGGATGCAAATCTGACAGTCCATGGGATACCAACCTCTTCTATTTATTTTATTTCATAGTGAAAGCCCAATCACAAGCTGGTTCTCATGCTTACACAGGGCAGAGCTTTTTAGGAGACATTCAATCCTGCCTGTAAGCGTCCCAGTATCCTGGGCTGCATCAAAAGAAGCATGACCAGCAGACCAAGGGAAGGGATTCTCTCTCTCAGCTGCACCCTGGCAAGACTCTACCACCAGCATAAGAAAAGCCCCCAACATAAGAGGGACATGGAGCTCTTGAAGTGAGGCCAGAGGAAGCCATGCAGGTGCTGCGAGGGCTGGAGCAGCTCTGCTCTGGAGCCAGGCTGAGAGAGCTGGGCTGGGGCAGCCTGGAGAAGAGAGAAGGCTCCTGAAGGGGAGACCTGAGAGCAGCTCCAGTGCCTGAAGGGGCTGCAGGAAACCTGGAGAGGGGCTTGGGACAAGGGATGTAGGGACAGGCCAAGGGGAATGGCTTTAACCTGCCAGAGGGGAGACTGAGATGAGCTCTTAGGCAGAAGCTCTTCCCTGTGAGGGTGCTGAGGCGCTGGCACAGGGTGCCCAGAGAAGCTGTGGCTGCCCCATCCCTGGCAGTGTTCAAGGCAGGGGCTTGACAGGGGGGCTTGGAGCAAGCTGCTCTAGTG